TATCATTAGATTCATCGAATACACGAGTCCGAGGTATGAGGTGGATTCGTGACTGGTGCCAGTGGTGGTTTTAGTTCGACTCTGTTTTCTGTCCCTATCATCTGATCATCTGTGACACGGTTGAGTCGCGTGAGAAGCAAAAAGGTGCAAAGCAAAGCAATGAAGAAACGAAATCCAAAGCAATAATCGAGAAAACAACGACAATCGCAATTTCAAACATGAACCCTCAAAGTGAAATGGCCTCTTTTACGGACAAAATTAACAAAGCAGAAAAGCCAGTTGCTCCAAAGAACTTCAACGACTCCCTGGTGCTTAGGGCCTGGCAGGTGTAGGACTAGCTTTAATATCAATTTCTCATTATTTTTCTATTTTATGTCGAAAGACCAACAGTGAGCAAGAATGCTCTCAGCCTCAACAACAACGTAGCGAGCGGGGAACTCGAAAGACCAAGCGAGCAAGAATACTCAGCCTGCTCAACGCCAGCGGGGAGGAGGCTGGATGAATTTGCAAGGCCAAACGACTTTCTAACTACAGTACAATACTTTCTACAATTGTAGTCAGGGAGTCGTAAGCCACCCTTCATTTACATGTAAGTTCATTATGACCCCTTCTTCGTCATTTTGTGAGAGCTTGGACAACCCACTTGTCCAGGCAAGAAGGCAGCAATGCCTGTTCATTCTGGCGAAGTAAAATAAAACATATCAGCCAAGTAGTTGAGCCAACCCCTGCTTCGCTCCTCTCCGAGTACTCGCGGTCCTCTGTCCCAGTCTGATCAGAATACACAAGAATACATGCACAGCACTAACACCGAATTTTTTTTTGTTCTTTTGTTTTTTGTTCCAAGCCTCTTGTACGGGCAAAATAAACACAAGTGCAAGCCCACTGTACTACTTGAGAACGGATTTATTCACAACACCAAGAAGTATTTTTTCTTAAAGAGTCAAAGCAAAAAGACAACCCAATTTCGGAAATAAATAGAACACTCAATTGAAATATAAATTTGAACGCAAAAGCTTCGCAAGAAATCGTTACCTAATGAGAATGACTACCGGCATGCAAAGGCGAACGGTCACGCCTCTGGTCGATTCAGCACAGCCGGCGGCAATACGCTGCAAAGGTATTTTACGACTCCCTGGAATATACCAAGTCTTTGTTTTTGTCTACAACGAGAGCAGCTAGCGACTTCAGAAATATAGTAGTTTCCTTGCCCGCCACACCCGAGGTCGAAAACACCAGTGTGGTGAATGATGCTCTCTCCACCTGGTTGACTCTGGCACCATACGCCGCCTCTACCACTACTCGTACTGTTTATTTATTTCACCTTCCCGTGGCCATGCCAGGAAATTAGTGGTGAAACGAATGTCAAAACATACTAGTCGAATATTCTTCAGCTTAACGAACGAATGAACGAATGTTCTTTTGGTAACACAGATGACATCACATGTCCTCCTCTCAGTCATTTGATGGATATTGTCAATACTAATGTATTATTAGGTATGACAAACGGTAGTGCCACGTAAAATATACTGCCACATAAGGCTACTTCAAAGTTCATAAAATGTTATGTGCAACATTGGCAGTCCAGTATGGACACACATGTGCATGCATGCAGTACAAAGTCACCGGCAGGCTGTACGCACTGCACTGTACCGTGTTCGGCGTGCATGTATGTACAGGCACTGCATTCGAAGTGACGTAACGAATACTCGAATGTGACTTAACGAATATTCGAATGTGACAAACCGAACGAATGTTCGAATATTCGAATATTCGTTTCACCACTACAGTGAGGAAATATAGGCCAATATGGAGGAAAGGGGGGTTACCACTGGTTACCTCAGTGAATAATGGCGGGCAAGAAGGTACAAGAGAATGCATGTACATGTGGATAGAGAGAAAAAAGGAAACCAAAGAGGAGTCCAGATGGAAAAGGAAAAGGAAAGATACCAACATTGAAAGGATCGGTCACATTAATTTGAATAATTTCCATCGTGGATAGGATAGTAACTATTCACACACATCCCTATGTTACCAATTACAATGTAGGATGGTTACCTGAGAACCGGTTTATTTTATTCACAAAGCCAACCTCTAGCTCTGCCTCTGGTCACCACTGTTGTACTGCACTAGCACTGGTACATGACGTTGCAACGGGAGATTTTTTCTATTTCTGTGGTTATCTTCTGTCAAAGAGTTGGTGGACAAGCCGTTGATTATTCACTCTCATTGTAATATCAAAAAAGTATTCTTTCTAGACCAAAGAGTGGTATATTTGATAACATTTAATAACGATAGAAATATTTACGATACTTCTCCAGACGTTTCGTTGTTCTGAACAACATCGTCAGTGGATAAAGAGTTGTGTGCATGTGCAGTCGTATGCGAGTATCGAGTACCATTCAAGACCATTGCACTCGAGTACTCGTACTCTGCTTTGACTACTATTATACCCCCGTACTGTAGCTAAGACACGAGTACAACTACAGGTGCGAGTACAGTTCAAGGCTTTGCACAAAAAAAGTCTTTCGCTGAAGTTTCAGGGTTGATCTCCGGCTATACTCTTGGTAACAGCAAGAGTACATAACCCCCCAGAGTGTGCAACTCCACTATGGGTGCTGTACTGTCCCGACAGAATTTCAAGTTGACGTCATTTTGATGATGCAATGCGCACTGTACACCTGGTACACGGATTATCAGACGAATCCGGAACCTGTGGTTGACCGAAGCCGATCGATCCTCATCCTGTACAAAGAAAAACGTGTGATAACGTGATGCGTTGACACCCGTACACATGACTGTTGTAAATCACTGGTGCAAGGAGCATTGCGTCATAAATAATGACGTCAACTTGAAATTCTGTCGGGACAGCAGCTTGAGCAGGGTATGTGGGAGTCTAGTTGCACACTCTGGGGGGTTATGTACTCTTGATCTTGGTAACAGCATGATGGCATATCAGTGAGCCAAAGCCGTCCTCTGAAACATGGTGGCAACAGACTGATGTCAGGCCCGTTCATGCAGCTTGGTGCAAATTGCAAGGGCTCAGATAGGGAGTCGTAAATGGCTGCAATCAGCAATGGAGTTTGCAAAGAGAATAAGCTTTTTCGAATTGAATTGAACTTGAAATGCATTGCAAACATGTTTCGGAACGTCAGAATGATTAGTCCTGGTTTTCTGCTTCAAAGAGGTGCTGCGTATACCATCAAGAGTACATAACTACACAGTGTGTAGTTATGTACTCTTGATACCATGGTATACCGTGCTGCATACTGTATACCGGTACCGGTACACATGTACATGTATTACTGGACCGGTACGATCCATACTAGGTATAGTATAGAGGTTATGCGATAATAGGGAGGTTTCGCTCTACGTAATTACGTATGAAAATCCGTATGTCGTACGCGCCGGGGAGCGAGGGCAACTTTCATACGTAAATGGTTTTTCTCGTCTTGGCTACATAGGTTCTGATCGGTGGAATATGCTGCCTTCCACTGTTCGCTCTTGTACAGATTATCGCCCATTTGTTCGTTCATGCTTAACCTTCCTAGGGGCTCCCGTAAGAAGACCATAGGTCTGTGGGAAACACCCTAGTAAAATAAATAAAATAATAATAATAATAATAATAATAATAATCTCTCTACGGATTTCCGTAGGAAAGCTCTTTCCTACGTTGGGTCCTCCGTAGGACTTTTTGAAATAATTTTCGCATTTTCCGCATTTGTACATGGCAATATTCAAGCCGCGCGAAACACAAGGTACACACACCGTACACCACGTGCAAAATATAATGAAAAACGCGGTTTCGGTTCATGGTGCATACGGTGGGCGCATGCAGCCAACGCGTCTCCAAAGCAACAACGCATGTTTAGCAGTCGTGGAGAAATCACGTAGAGCGAAACCCAACAGCTCTGATTTTTACGTATAAAAATTCCGTGCAGTTCATACGTTATTTTCATACGTAATTCCGTAGAGCGAAACCTCCCTAATGTCAAATCCGCCATATATAGGAGCCAGTTGGGGTGGCAAAATGCCCAAAGCGGGTACAGAAACCCCTAATATAGAAGAATTTGGGGTGGCAAACGTACTATAATTATGACGTGTATCGCATAACCTCGTATTACAAATTGTAGTACATAATGACACAGGGCCTAGGGAGTTTACCGATCAAGTCCCTGTGTAGTCCAGGGTGGATGGACCCTGGCCTTGGCAATATGTTTGTGCTGGCATGATGGGTGCCAGGTTCCTGAGCCAATGCAGTTTAGTGTACGTACAAACATGCGCTGACAGCCACAGCACACGGTGTTGCAATTGAAGCAGGTCAATGTCAATGGTGCAGGGCTCCATGATCCACACATTTCGAAATATTTCAAGGACGAAGCGATGCACCGATTTTTCAAGCATGCCGCATGATGAATCGCCACAATCAATATTTTTCTTGCAATCCCTGATCTGGCTAAAGAATGCATTCCGATTCAAAGTAATTTACCAACTGCATATCGGGTCACACAGTCTCTGCACTATTAGTACTTATTAGTAAGTTGGTGTCAAGTATGACAGTATCACGGTGACCGGTATCTGATGGGCCATCGTGAGTTGGTGATCATCCTGTCGAAGGGGGCTGCCTCTTGTCTGCCTCACGAGCCATAGTCTAGCTACACTGCAGTGTAGGCCAGCCAGCCACTTGTGACTTACTAACTTTGAAACCATTGAGCTAGCTGTTCACTGGAGAGCTCTCAGTAGCACATTCACTGTTCATGTTAGGTCAGCGCACCACTGATCGATGTGGTTGAGGATCCAGGAGCCTGCAGGAGTGCTGCTGGAAAGTATTCTTTCTCAAGTGTTTCTCTCAGCGTCCTTATGGTGTGTTAAGTGCCAACCGACACATCACTCACACATGCTGCGAGTGCTGAGTTCGATGCCGCATGACTTGGAGTTGGATTTGTTTCAGTACAGTAGCAGCAGCAGCAGCAGCAGCGGCAGCCAGGCACTTGAGCTGAAGGCAGGCCAACTGGCCCCCTAGATAGCTGTGGAGGTTGCACTCTCCTCGCCTCATCAACGTTGGCCTGGATGCCTCTCAGTGTCTGAACCGTGCATGGCTTGATAAGCAATACATGTGCTGGCGTCTGCTGTCCATACTGACCTTGCTATTGCTAGTACTAGTAAGTACGAACTCCAGTCCAGGCCTAGACCAACATCACAGTGTTATTAGCACAGGGTGACAACAGCACTGTGAAGTGGTGTGAGGAGCTTATCTCTGCACAGTTTTCTGAGCGTATCCTGTCCTTTTGCCTGGTCAATGGAGGGACAACCAACATGCTAGTAGTAGTAATGGCAGTGGTCCATGGTGGTCTCCTGAGACAAAGACAAGTCCATTCTCCTGTACTGTAGCTAGCAGTGAGTGAGTGAGTGCGCTGAAGGAGGCAGCTCTAAAAACGCTGCATTCTTTCTGTCGTGTGGCACCTCTGTGGTCGCTCGCTGGTGAATTGCTTTCACGCCTACAACAAACGAGAGTTCCGATCCGGGACTAAGCAGCAAGCTGTCTCTACTGGGCTGAGCCACGTCAAACCTTGCAGTTGCACTGTTTCAGAGTTTGTGTTGCTCGCCGGACGACTTGACAGAGCTGCAGCGTTCGGACAGTTTTGTCAGCTCGCTAACACATCGGGGACGGTTCAACTGGCATTGCGTGTCCTGTGTGAACAGCTGACTGTGCGGAGTTCACGGCTGCGTGCTTTCAGGTAAAGTCCCTAGCAGCACTATCGCTACGCTACATTGTAGTACAAGTAGGTCGCTAGCGAGTTCAGACTACAGGGTGCCTGTGAGATGGCATGTTCATCACCACCACCACCAGCAGCAGCAGAAAAGGTATCGACGGACGGCGAGCAGCGGCAGATATCGCCCTTGCAGCGCAACAGGACGATGAGTGCAACGCACCGGCTTGTGACCATATCACCAACACATAGGCCAACTGAAATCAGTAATAGCGCTTCAGGTGACTTGGCAGTTAGTAGTCGTTCGTTGATGCACAGTAAACCCTTCATGACTAGTGTTGCTGTTAGCGCTGCTGCTGGTAGAGAACTAATGGATGGGACAGGCGGAGGCGCCACCAGAAGTCGCTCTAGCTCGCTGCTTTCGACTTGGTTCGGAACAGGAGATGGACTGAACGAAGTGGAACAAGCTGAGTTAGAGATCGAGAAGATGATCACTAAGATTCGTCGAGACCTGGTAAGTGATGACATTGTGTGTAGTGCCAATGCCAGGGCAATGGTGACCATATCCCCATAATGCTGTCATAGGGTAGACCCAACCCGTAGATCTACAAAGCTCTCGTTCACTAACTCAGTCCTTGCTTTAGGCTGTAGCCCATCTGTGCACGCGGAGATTGGACGTGGGCTTGTTCTTGGCACGGGTACCTATGCGTGTGCGGATGGGCTCTGTCCGTGTACTTACTGAGACTGAAACAAGATCTATAAGTCGAGTCAGGTGTTCCAGAATGGGAGCCGGACGATCGTCTGCTAGGCCTACATAACTGTTAGTAACATTGTACATGGGTATGATTATTGATTACATCAAATACTAACGGAATGTTGCTTTGGGAAGTAGCTAGTTTGGTGTTGCATAACATCCCCCGGTTGTTACTTGTAAATCTATGTGGGTGTAGCTACAATGTACAGGTATATCAGTTAGGTTTGCTGTGACCATGGAACTAATTACTTACTTGGACTTGAAGTTGAAGGTGCATCTATAAAAATTTAATAATAATCGTATAAATGTCATTACGAAACAATGTGCAGGGAAAGTGGAAACGCTTTGTCAGTGAAAGTGGACGAGAGGCAGCTGTTTCCAGTGTTGGCTTCGACGTTGTGCGCGAAACGACCGGACGTCGTTGCCCCTCTAATTTCTAAAGTCTAAACGAACTTTCTACAGCAACAGTACAAGTGCGGATAGGCGGATAGGTGAAACGTTCAAAACCTTCAGTCCTGGCGGCGGCGATTTCAGAAAGTGAGCAGTGCGTCGAGGATAGTGCATGCCCTTAGTTCCGTGCTAGCGCTGTAGAGGTCTGCGTGCAGTGGCCAGCGGCTGTAAAGTGGACGAGCACAAGATAATTTGTGTGGTTATTTTGTTATGTCGCTTCCAAGGGCCAGGCCCAGCGGCTTTCACTCGGAGCTCCAGGGAAAGATACTGCGCGCTAGTGTGTATGTGTGTTTGCCCGTGCGCGTGTATGCGTGTGTTTGTGTGTGTGGGTGTGTGTGTGTTTGTCCGTGTGTGTATGTGTATCTGTGTGTGGTGTGTGTAACTATTATTATCTTTTCTGCATTCATCATACCGGTAAGACATATCCATACCATGCTCATACTTATAGACATCCGTGATATCCAGAGACTTTCGAACATAGGTCACCATGAGTGGTGGGGCTGTTCTTGTGTGGCGGTCTGCATGCCATGATCTAGGATCGATCGATTGTTGAGGGCCACAAAAACAAGAGATCGTCTCAGCCCTGCATACCATGGTATCACTCAGTAATACAAGTGTAGTACTGAATGGCATTCGTTTGTCCCTGCGAGGTTTGGTCATTTGGCTTATATTCCCCCTCCCCTGTGCCAGCAGCCCTACGCGCCAAGATCTGCTGCTCTTCGCGGTTCTTGACTGCTCTTCTAAAACTGGTCACAAAACATTCATGTTTCACTACCTGTTTCACAGCATTTTTCTTGTCATTACAAGAAATTCAATGGCCAGTGCAGTGTGTCTGTGGCGGTCTAGCGTGGCTTCTATCAGATCGAGCGCAACTTCACAACACCGTTCACCAGGTTCACACTTCTAAGTTCTACCCCCTCACTAGCACGGACAGTCTGTGTTCTGGCTGCATGCACGCAAGGCAGAGCGTTGCCACACGAGCAGTGGGTCAGTCGTGTCGCTGCCGTGCTGGCACCGGCTTGCCAATGTGTAGCTCCAACCGGAATGGGCTCTCCCTGCAAGGCCGCCGAAAATAATCGTCCTTCCCTCGGTGTCAACATGATGGTCATTAGGACCTACTGGAAGTATTGTCAATCTCTGTAGACTGGCTACCTATTCGGTGTACATGTAGCTGTGTGCAATCAACGCAGAGTTTAGCATTGTCTTTGGGCCACCTGGCTCTGCACAAAGTTAGTTTCTCCGCTAGTCGGTGTGTCGTCGTGTTGTCATTCCGCGCCTGGGCTAGGCCAAGCTAACTCTAACTCTAAGTTAGTAGCAGCAGCGAGAGTAAAAATAATAAGCTCTGGGACTGGGCCGCAGTGCAGAGCACAACAGCCACAACTTCACAAGCCTACGTAGGCTATAGGCGTAGGTCAAGATAGGCTTGGGCTTTGACCCGCAGACACTCTAGTCTCTACTGAGTACTGTGTAGACCTACTGTGTAGATGGCGTCATGTGACTGCACTTACACTATGTCTTTATAGCACTACAGTCTACACTAGCACTTAGCAGCGCAGCACCACCGACCGACTTGGCTACACAGTTTTTGACGTGTGGCCGATGGGGACACCCGAAGAAGCGACCGTTTCCAACCGCTGAGATCATTCCACACGCGGTGCCATGCACATACAGTCAGACCAAGACATCGATGGCTGTCTCGAACAGTCAAAGAGCGAGCTTATTGTTCATCGAAGCAACCACGAGAGTTCGGCTACATGACTGTGCTGTCTGTAGTGATCTACAAGAATGGGTAGCAGCCATGCTGTTTATGGGTACACGTGAATCAAGTCAGAATGAATGTGATACGGCCGCTATCTCCAATACGATGCTGGACTGATGCTGCGTCGAAAGGCACAAGCATTTGCAAGGTGCAAGGGCACGAGCTACATAAGCAGGTCTCCATTTTTGTCTCGTTTAGAAGTACCGGTACATGTTCAATCAGTCCTTCTTTTGCAACAGCTGCACATCTCAGTGCACTGAGATGTGCACATCTTGGGAGAGTGTACCACAGTACTACATACATGTACCAGGGTGATACTAAACACACCATGCCATAGCCTACATGTAGTTGTGCGTGCGTGTGTGCGTGCGTGTGTGTGTGTGTGTGTGTGTGTGTGTGTGTGTGTGTGTGCATGGTGATTTGAATGAGTTCAGGAATCATCGGAATCAGCTACAAAAATAGAATCATTCCTTCTTGCAGCCTATGCCTCTGTCTCTGATGTAGGATTGTAGATCATAGATGGTCAGTAGGCTGCCATCAGAATCAGTGCTGTGGTCTACTAAAAAATTGCCTATAGAAGATTGTACTGTCTGTAGTAGGCCTGCGCACAGCACACATCGCTGTTGCAGCTGCTGCTCTGTATCTCCAGAGATAAGCCTCAGGGGCCGGGAATTGTGGTAGGGATATTCTACAGAACGGTCAACATTTTGTGTGAGCATCTGGTTGGCCTGGAACTCTTTGCATGGCACGTGTAAATGCAGTAAGTTAGTATGGAGATTCAAGCGGGGTGTGATATTGGAATTCTAGAGGGCACATGTCATGTATCAAGAGCAACAAATCTCTGCACACCAGTCAATGCCTGCATTGCTGCTACATGTAACATGAACAGCTTGGCTTGGCCCGGAATGGCTTGGCCTGGCCCCTGGGGCCCCAGCACTGAGCTGAGTTTCCTCTTAGTCTAAACCAGGTGTTGTACATCTGTCCAGCAATAGCTGACACATGCAATAGCAATAGCAATAACAAGTCCATATTTTGACACCTTGATGTTATGCTACTTCCCCCGAACTAAGTATTAGTTAGCCGGGCTGAATGGGAGCTACCAACATGAAGGGAATGGACACGATTTAATGGCATGGGGTGCTTCTAAAAGCTTCTCCTCCAAAAGGAGGTACATGTGTATGCTGAACTGTCACCCCTAGCCCTGCATCCTGGCTGGAGTACAAATTCAGCTTGTACACATCATCAACCCCTTCCCACTCTGTATGTTCCCATTAGTTACAGCAAATGGGCTGATGATGAAGTCACTGAACAATAAAGCTGGGTGTCACACTCTTGCATGGATGTGTACATGCGCACACTGCAAGTGTCTGCATGTTGTAGGTGTGCGCATGTGTATATATGTGTGTGTATTATATTGTGTGTGTGTGTGTGTGTGTGTGTGCCAGTGTGTGTGTGCACGTGCGCGCGCGTGTGCATGTGCGTGCACGCGCGCGCGCGCGCGTGTGCATGTGTGTGTGTGTGTGTGTGTGTGTGTGTGTGTGTGTGTGTGTGTGTGTGTGTGTGTGTGTGTGTGTGTGTTCCATATGGTGCAGTGGTATGTGCAGTCGATTTCCAATCGAGAGGTTGCGGGTTCAATTCCCGACGATTATTTATGGTCGCACACGTCTTTCTTCTCTTTCTCATTCTCCTAGCTCTTCTTTCGTTCTCCTGGGTGGCTACCAACAGCCAGTGCATGCCGGAGTATGTGGTGTGGCGTGTGTGTGTCAAAAAAGAATGGAAAAAAAGGAAGAAAAAAAGGGATTCACTGGCCAGAAAAAGCCACTTCAATCAGCTGTGTGGTGGATACCAGGCTAGAACTAGTGGCGGTCAATTCATCAGCCTTGCAAGCTGTTGAATGGTGTAATCCCAGAACAAGTTGCTATGTCTAATATATCTGTTCGCTATCATCGCTTCCGCAATGGGCATGTCCAAGTCCGAGTGCACGTGTGCGTGCCCGACAGAATGGCAAATATACTATCAACTATCAACCCATCCTCTGTGTTTTCTCGTGTCTGTGTGTTTTCTGGTGTTGTGTTGGGTGCAGAATCACATGCATGATCAGGACCTATACTTCTCAAAGTGGATCGGAACACTGGGTCGCAAGATTAATAACCTTGAGACGGCAGTCTACTCATCCGGAGATCATCGGCTGAACGATTCCCTGACGTCCGGCGATGACGAAGTGGACAGCGCGTCGTGTGCAGATTCCTGCGACGATGACAGTCGACAGCCAAACGGGCACGCACCGATCAGCGTTACGACTTACTCCACGGCACTCGAACACAACCCTCTAAGCCGGTCATCTTCTCCAACATCGAACGGCACGTCTAGCAGCCACTTGAATGCGTACGCAAGTTCTACGGATAGTGATTACTACACTGATTGCCGGCTGGCGCCGATAGAAGAACGTCACTCTCAGCAGACAGTATCATCAGTAGGCTCTCGCACTTCACACGCAGGGATCACCAAACCACGGGCAACGTCCTGCGACTCGGTTGACTCTCTCTACTCCAAGTCCTGCACTAGCCTACCTGGCAGCCTCTCTGGTGGAGCCGGCAGTCATCTTAGCCGACAGGACAGCGTCAGCAGTGGCATACATGCAGACGAGCTTCTAGCAATGTACTCCAAGCGCGAGAAAGGTGTTCGGCAAGAGATGGGTTTGGCTTCGCAGGGCGGCACGCCCAACAAGCGAGCGTCGTATTTGTCTCAGGACGCGTCCACCCTTCGCTCTCCGAGTGACACATCGTTAGTACAGGAGCAACCTGTGGAAGAGGCGAGGTACAGCAAAAATGCTGCTGCGGCGCCCTTGACACGGCAAGTCTCCTGGGACCTCGACACACCAGCTTGTAAGAACACAGCAAATAGCGCCAATACTAACACTAGCGGCAGTAGCACTGAAAAAGCCGCGCAGCAATTAGACAAGCCGCTCACAAAGTCAACCGTACCTCACAAACCACTGCAGTATAATGAGATCTTCGAGCCGCCTCTGTCCTACAGTGAAGCATGCATGTCACCCGGATCACCCACCATGGACGATCAGTTCCTGTCGCCGCGCTTGGCCAAGCGAAACTCTGGCATCTTCGGTTCTGTCCGCCTGCGCCAGTCGTTGCGAAACATCACGCGAGGACGCGTGCAGACAACTACATCGCCAAATGATAAGGTAGTAGCATCAGCAATACCGTCGGGAGTAGCTTCACCACCTGTTGCACCCGGCTCACCGACTAGTTCACCGTTTGCGAGAACGGAGAAGACAAGATGGAGGTGGGGCAGTGTCCGTGGTAGCAGTTCCGGATGAACTTGTGTGCATGAACAGCAGCACTAGCAGCAGCAGCAGTTCCACTGGAGCTTGCCTATCACCTGCATTGGTGTGGTCTTTAACATCTCAACTTGCCATGCAAGGCTACAGGCTGGTGATAGTGTATGTGAACATCTCGATTGAGCCTTGCAAGGCTACAGGCTGGGTATCGATAGTCTGTACATGTATGGACATCATGGCCAGAGATTTGCTTCCATACTATACCCGGACACGAGCGAAATACCACTTCACTAACGCAGCATCTCAGTTTCTGATTGTCTGCGGCCAGTCCCGTGGTCCTGGTTCACTCATGGCTTTGAGCTTCTGCCGATCTCGCAAATCAAATGCAGAGCCAACCCCTGACAGTGTCTCAGTGTCTGGACTCTATTAAGGATCATGTAGTCACGATGTTCTTGTACCCTGTACGTGTGTAGGACAACACATCTAGCGTAGATTAGCGCCAGCATGTCGTGATCCCTAAACATTCTCGCAGATCCGACTAGCCGTCATCAGTTCACCGGTCAGGCTTCGATAGCGAACCCCCGGTGCAGACGTTTTAACTCTGGGTTTCATCTCCACTGCCGTGGAACTTAGCTTGGAACTCCTTTTTTTGTAGTGTTGTTTTATGTCATCCCCACCATCCTCATGTTAATAATTATCACTTTTACGTTTTAACGTTATATCCCGACGGTCATCAACACAAAAATACCTATTTATAGTTACCTTGGCCTATTCCACACCTTTAAATCTAACGGACATCTTCCTGTCTTAGCACAATATTATGGTGCATGTACTAGCATGACTCAATTGGCCTTGATGCCCGTCTCCTGTAGCTCTCAGCTGTGTACAGTGTGTATCCCTACTCACTCTACAAGTTGCAATCTTGATTATTCGTCACTTCTCATTATAGTGTACCTTGGTTTAGAATACAGTTTGGGCTGTGTTCCGCACTAGTCAGGTTGAAATTGTTGAGTTGACACAGTGCCACATGTGTAATATTATTATGCTGGTCAATTGCATAACCAGTCACGTGTACAGTATATCGGCGTTTGTGTGGCAGCGTCTGTGCGTGGTTGGGCCGCACGCACACACACACCACATACGCACACACACACACACACACACACACACACACACACACACACACACACACACACACACACACACACACACACACACACACACACACATCCATCCTGATCGGCAGCACTACTATCATGTTCTTCAGGGGTACTCCTTGTACCGTAGGTCACTGTTAGCTTAAAGAGCAGATTCACATACATGTAGAATCACGTTGTTGGTTTGACAGCATGAAACAAGGTGGAGTGTCCTCCACCGTGTTCGGAAACAGTGACCTTACTACAACCATCCACGGTTGGAGCACGGTGTCAAACCAACAACATGTGTGAACTATAACAAGGTTTATCTAATACTAGTGCTGTACTAGTATTCGTTCAGAAAGTGGTGGACATCACGCAACTGCATTGTGAATAAAAGGGGGTTTGCCAACTGACAATAATATTTATTATTAATAATTTTTCAACATCATTTAAAAAAAGAAATTTATCTAAAGAGTGAATAGCAACTAAATAGAGCGGTTGTCAGTTGGCAAACCCCCTTTTATTGTACTAGTATTGGATTATCTAATACGGTATTACCATGTACAATCATGTACAAGGCATGTGAAGGGCTCTCCGGGCAAAGAGTATCTCACACTCCTGCCTTGCGCTTCCATGGTAACTGCCCAGGAAAGCACAAGAGAGTAGGATGAGTAGTCTAACATGGTCTAAGCCAGGGAGAAGAGTAGTACTAGTAGTACCAAGAGTACAGTAGTACAGTAGTACAGTAGTACATAACCCCCCATGGCCCAGGGGGTTATGTACTACTGTACTACTAGTACTCTCTGGTCTAAGCTACACACACTCGTCTGTGCCAGACAATTGCAACAGCATTCACAACACCGTTGAATGGTCTACCAGTATTTGTTTTATAGATTTGGGCCGTGAACTACTGCTTCCATACTATAGCCTGAGTATAGGATAACATGATCGGTTGGTGACCGACCTTCTTTGATGATTTGCACAGTTATCTTGTCTTCAATGATTTCGCCCCTACAAAAGCTTTACTATCAAAGTACGTTTGGGTCAAGTATATCATCCTTGCTGGTGAGAGTACAGAGACCTAGACCCTACCCACCCTCTGTGCTGTACATCATAATGTACACATGTACAATCATCATCTAGATCTACACCTTCCATAATGTGTACATAGTATGTAAGGCTTTACCAGCAGTTGCCAAGGCAACACGAATCGCACCTGGAGTGCAGTGGAAGAGTAAAGAAGCATTTTAGTTCAATTCTTAGTTTTCCCTGGTGCAAACGACGTTACCACTGGACTGGTATGTACTCCCTGCATGGCCTGGTCAGTTAGATCTGCTTGAATTGTCGGGTACACGGGTACAGGGAGTACAATCACGCGGAACAGAAGTAAAGTGGCACATGAACAACAGTAGACACCCTTAGCAAAAAACGTTACATTGTAACGGTATTATCGTAAGGGGGAAAATACCGTGATTTGGGTTCGACCTTTAGCAAGATGCACGCTATTTTTAGTACGCTGTTGCCACGAGAATAGCTTTGATTTCACCCGGTACAACCATTTTTGTCACCATATACGCGATACAAGGCGAAATGCGTACGAACTATGCAATATTTGGCCAAAACACGTACCGTTGGTCACAACGATAAATCAGCCCCCATAACGTTTATACGCTGCAGCTTCAACGCTATTTTAGGTGATCAAGGTACGAGTACCGTAAAAAAAATAGCGTTACCGTTGTTTGCTAAGGGTGTCTAGTACTACCGTAAAGTACCGCCAGAGCGCCCCGTCTCGCGAGAGCGCCCCACCTTGATTTTACAGCCAGAGAAAGGAAAATCGTATGGCAGAGTGCAACGAAGTTTGTACGATGTAAGAAGCTTAGTGTACTAAGGTCACATTTGGCAGGTTTTTGTGTGGAGCTTGTGTCCGCTCGAAGGTACGGATTGACTGCAAAACGTGCTATATGTGTACAAGGTTCATATCGTATGACCTACAGACAGCAGACCACCTCCACAATACGACCACGAAAGGATGAGATGGTGGGGCGCTCTGGCGGTACTTTACGGTACTAGTAACTTGCATTAGGCTTATGCACAACAAACACTTTTTTTGTTTTTTTCTTCTTTTTGGTTTCCCGCTCTCGGGGCCTTCTATTCGGTACTCTTTGTAGTTGTACTTCTGTACTGTTGCGCTATCCGAATTCAAAAAAATACTAAAAAAACCCAAAACCAAAACAAAAAAAACACTAGTCTTCCCTCCACTCTCATATTTTTTTCTTTCTTTTTTTTAAATTTCGGCCAGTCGGCTTCTATAATTACCGTAAAGTCGTGGATAAAAGCCGGGCTTATAAGCATATAAGCCACTTTCTGCATCAGGCTTCAATGCACACCAGACTTGTATGCAAACCATGCTTATATGCACCACTGATATTTTTGCCAGGCTTGGATGCCAGGATCTACCACTGACTACCGGTATGGCGGCAGTTTTACTATGCACCGTACATAGCGCATGCACTCTTGACCTACCCGATCCACGCTTGCATAGAAGCCAGGCTTCTATGCGCGGCAGGCTCATTATGCATTTGAGCCGTTTGATTTTCAGGCTTCTATCCGCAATGTGTTTGTATGCAAACCCGGCTTTTATCCGCGACTTGACGGTAATTGAGCCAGAGCACGCGAAAGGGACGTTATCCCGATTTTTGAGGATTTTTGAGTTATAATCACCAAATTCTTGTAGCCAGACAACGTACGAATCAGATAAAAACAAATGAAAATCCACCGGGAGTTGCAGCTCGCTCGACTCTACTGAGTGCAGAGAACCCACACCTTGGTCTGGTGAGCTAAGGCGTGGGGAATTTTGCAGTCAGATGTGCTCTCCTCATGAAATCACAGGCCAGTGTACGCTCACACACTTCCTGATCAACTACATCTACAACAGAGATAGACTACGATGGACAGATGCAACCACACTATACCACTACTACTTCAACAGTATTACATGCGCATGTACATGACATTAACATGGCGCTATTTGGGCACATCGCCAGTCAGTTATCTGGATGTCTTGTACAGTGATCCCAATTCCTGTGTTCGCCCTGAGCAGCAGCAACAGCTGTCCAACTCACCAGCAGCAGCAGCAGCAGCATAGCTCACCCCATACACAGATACTGGAACAGTGCGAGGCAAGGATATAGGGCACACGCATTGGGCACATGTGCATGCTAAGTTGCTAATACTAACACTTCCAGCTGGACAAAGGAAGATACAAATGAGTAACAAAAGGCACAGAAAAGCTCAACAGCCTGCCAAACTACCCAAACGATAAGGGAAAGTTTGCAAACACACTTCGATGAGACGAGCAATAAGAACCAAGCTGGAAAGTGTTGTGGAGATGTACGGATACAATACAAATCGAGCTAGAAACGACAGGTACATATTGTGGACATATCACAAAAGCGGTGGAACTGAGCGGTGCGATCAAGAGCTAGCCAAGGTGGATTATTGGCATGCACATGAAATGGTATAGAGTAGATTTGCGTATAGACAGTCAGAAGACTCCTCGAGTATAGACTATCAAAAGATACGAAGACACTCCTCATGGAGAAGCAAGCAAGAGAAATGGCAGGTTACCGGATAGAGCTGTGTAAGACATACTTCATTGGTCGGATAGATATACAGGAAAAGGTCAGAGTCAGCACCCACAAATAAAAATCAACAACGCCCACCCCGGGAAGCGACTTGCGGCAACTAAATATCTACCAGCATTAACAGTAGCATTCGAAATTCTGCGCCCACACAAGCCCAAACACAACACAGGTGCCAGGAGCAGTTGAGTGTGTTATTGCATTTGGATTTCGATGCAAGCTTCTAGCCAATAAATACTAATTGTACATCAAAAGTGTTCGTTCATTGCCCCAGCCTCTAACAACAAACAGTACAAACATCACAGGGTAGTATAATAGAAATAGTACATGTATCATCTGTCCTGGTTAAAAGGCGGCCTGGAATTCAGCTAATCTAACTCAAGTGGGCACAGGGGCAACTGCCTTGCGGGCAAGAGAGGGGTAGCATAGAAAGGTCAACAGAACCAAGGCCACCGCCGGCAAACACCATGTTATAATGAGAGCGCGCACGCGCGCGCGTGCGCGTTAAGTCAGCCCTCTTGGTGGGACCACAAGAGCACGCCAAGAATCGCATGGTGTGCAGGCTTGCGACACCATTGAAAGCAGCGTGCTCAGGCTGATGTATGGAGACCAGCAGCACAACGGTTCTGCAAGAGAATGTGTGCACGGCTTCAAACATGCTCCACCAGTTACTGGTACCTGGCATGTGCTGGGAAGGATGCACGCTCTAGCAGGCCCGTCAGAACAATTGGTGACCTGTCTTAAGTAGTCCTAGCCGGAAATCAGGTACACTTTGAATAGCTAATAGTCCTACCTACCTAGAGCTGGGCGAATGCAGATCTGCACCTTGCCGTCCGGGCCTGGCCAGGCTAGTTCAGTTCTTCTTCTTGCTGCCTTTCTTGGCCTTCTTAGGCTCCCTTTACATCAACAGGTTGTTAGGAAAGAGGCAGGAAACAATATTCATCATCACGGCTGCCAACACAGATAGCACACCTCAGCATCACTGCTGTGGCCCAAGAGAGACACACAGTGACATTCGTCTCGCTAATCCCGGTATGCCAGTGTATACGTAGTTACTGCTGCAAGCACGGTTGTGACACCTGGACAGTACTGCAGCAGTACGCACGGAATACACTGTATTGAACGTACCGACAGATATCCACACAGCCGGTGGTGGTCGTGACTGCAGACATCATGCGCGATACCACACACGGGCGAGTTCAGAGTATAGAGATTTTTCAACGACGGGGCACCGTGCCCGCCATCGGCGCTCACCCCGGGATTGTGGTGAACAGGTCGCATGTCAAAAACGCATTGAAATGTATACGAAATGTGACCGGTTCGTCTCCGCCAGCGCTTGAGCGATTCTGAAGCTCGTTCTTTTTCGTCCAAGCCATGGAAGGGCTTCCTGGCAACTGCTCTGACTCAACACGAGTGTCGGACATAAAGTGGAGCGCCGTTCTACTGCTTCTTTCACCTCAGCGCATCCATTCCCATACAAAGGGAACGTGAACTGGGCTTCGCCTGTTCACCAGGGATTCAAACATTTCTCGCACGTGACCCCAAAAAGTGACCATTGGTCCAACCTTGAAAAAGCTCTATAATCCTTTACCCTATGATGACCTATGTCCTCCTGGCTGGGTGTGCCAATGACCAGTATTGCATGCTCACCCGAGCTGAGAGTGCAATACCGCCGGGACATGCGGCATACTTGCTAAGGCCGTCGTCGATCGGCTGCCTACATGGTGACAATCATGTGACCTGCAATAGATACCCCCCCCCCCCCCCACACACACACACACACCTCCCTTTGCAACACCACA